CAGACTACTTTAGGCCCGGAAGTAGGATTCGTCACGTCATCACTTAACGACCGGATAGGTACAACCTCATAGAGCTGTTAGTATGGATTTAGACTGTCTAGTTTTGGGCTCTTGGATAGTAACTAAACCATTTCCATACCCCTCAGCATTAGCAGCATTTTGTGGGTTTTTTTTGCTAATAATCAAATGTAATATGATGCTAACGTGCTAAATTAGGATCACTGCGAGTATTAGCCAGTTTAGCATTTAACTCAAATCACCATTACCCAAGAATAGCCCGTACAGGTACAACCTCATAAAGCTGTGAGTATGGATTTAGAGTCAGTCTAGTTTTGGTCTCTTGGATAGAAACTATAATAAGACATACCTTCAAGTGTCAGGAAGCAAGGGATTATTAACATACTGAGTAAAGCAACATGAGCATCATTTGGAGCTATATTTGTAGCTTGTGAGCTGCTAAATATTCCATCATGCTCATCAGCTTATTAACCTCGCCTGTGGCATAGCCAGCATAAAACATGGATATAGCTTCAGGCTAGGAAAATAAAGCCAATGAAACTTTGCCTTAACTCATGTAACTTCCAGACCTATTGAAGTCTTTCTGATGTGACCTCTATAAACACGTTAAACTCTGTAAATACTTGTTTGGGGTCATATGGAATAAAAATGACATCTACTTTGTTAATTGTGGTCATACTCTGTTTTAAAATGATTGTTTGTGATATAAAACTTTGGCTAACACTTTGTCAATCAGACCGCCTCTTCTCCTCACATCCCTCATTTTACTGCCAAGATGCTGACAGTGGAGATGCTCATGTGAAAACTGTACAACAGGTACGTGTAATGTTTTAGTCTATGGTCTGTCGGCTGTTTGGTTACATACTGTTTGATTGCTGTGCAGCAGCAGAGTGCTAACAGATCACTGCTGTTGCTAGAAATGATCCTGATGTTGGTGGTAAAAAACGATAAATTTGATGAAACCAAAATAGTTAGCATAAAGTCGTTAAAGAGCTGTTTGGAGTCTTGGAAAACTGTACAAGTGGATGCTGATTTGCTGTGGGTTTATCCCTATGAGCCTCTTTTACATTACATAAAGTTACTTGATGAATTTTTAATATATTAACTGGAGCAGCAGTACAGAATATATTTTTTTCCTACCTTGACAGAAGGTTCTTCCATTTCCAACAAAGCCGTACTTGCAGTTACAAACTTTGCCCGAGCCATCTGACTTGTCGTCACACGTGGCATTAGCATGGCAGGTTGAGCACACATCCAACAGACTCTGACCCTCTGCTGGCTTACCTGAGAGGATAGAGAGGACTCCAATTATCATGTTGATATTTAAAGTTGTTCATTATGTCCTATAAATCATACGTTGTAATTATAAAATAAGAAATGTGGGGAGAAAAACTTCACCAGGATTCTCACCTGAAAAAACGAAGAGCAGAAAGAACACAATCATGCTTTTGGTTCCTTCATCCATCCTTCCAGTCTCCCCGTGGACTTCACCCGACACAAAACCTCTTTGTCCTCATCTTGGTTTTTTCTATTTTTTTTCTATTTATTTATGTACTTCCTTCTTGTGCACCATTATTAAGCTGAGCGCATTTGATAACCAGAATTGTGAGTGGGTGAGCTGAGGTCACCCTGGGAAAGAAACTCCTTTTCTCAATGGTCCTCTAGCAGTTTTGTGGTTTTAGCTGTCATCGTCTGGCATGTTCAGTTACTACTCGCATCTGCAGATGATACGTTCACTACTCACAGTGGACTGCCCACTCAGCTGTGGGAGCTGATAACAGCTATATTTGGCCCCATAAACCTGCTGAATTTCCTCTTAAAAACATGGTGTCACTTTGTAACAGTTAGTGTTGTGCATATTAATCTCCTCATTACACCAGTTTGGTGTTAACCACTGACACAGCTCTTATGGATTCATGAAGGTTAAGTGCACTTTACCCGATGCTAAGTGACGGCTGACTTAGATTAGACTCCATAAATATATAAGTGGTGTTTTAAGTTTTTGTATTTATGTTGAAACTAGGGGTCTGCAGTGGGTAATGTGGGAGGGGGAGATAAGTCTGATGAGCTCCTATCTCTTTGCCCAGCAGGGTCCTAACTGGGGTTTTCTGTCACTCAAATTAGTAAGCTAAACTCTTCACAGCTGTGGCTCTGTGTGTGTGTGTGTGTTTATATATTCACGGGCCAGTTTTAGACATTTTTGTCCAAACTAAAGATCAAAGTGAAAACTGTGCGTTTGTGTGAGCACACATCAGGTCTGGATAATCACAAAACCATTAGTTTAGTCAAACATCACGGAAGTGACCCCTTTGAACAAATGAGTAACATTACGTGAAAAAGAGAGAAAATAAAAAGTAAATGAATAAAAAAACGGAATAAACTTACAATCCAATAGTACATGATTGTTTAAATACACAGTTTATATAATTTTCTCCTCAAACATTTCACATTTTTCCCAAAAGGTTGATTCTGTTCATCTGGACGTAGAGTTTTCAGTGGGAGAAACGTTTCGTCAGTCATCCAAGTGACTTCTTCCGTCTCAGCTGACTGCAGGTTTCCCCAAACTTATAAACAGTAGATTTCTACAGTGACTGAAACCAGCCCACTGAATGAACAATGGGCTGTGAGGTCAGTTCCTTGATCATTAATATGCAAATTCTCATGACGAATGATCAACAACCACTGATCAGTGGCCAGAAGTACCATTCACAGAGAGTTGGGGAATGGCTTTAATCACAGCATTGTTGATGGTCAAAGATGTACCTTTAGGCCCCCTCCTCGATTCAGAGATGGTCTTTCCCTTTTCACGTAAATGGCCTCATGACTCCGCGCTCAAACCAGCTTTCCTCCCCATTCAGGATGTGTACATCCTCATCATTGAAAGAGTGTCCACTGGCTGGTAAGTGTAAATAGGAAACTTTTTGGGATTTGCTTACCTGGATGACTGAGCATGCATCAAGACATTTCACATTTTTACTACTCAAAACAATACTGAATTTATACTTCTTTATACTTGGTCCTTAGAATTATATTGCATGAAATAAATGCAAAATGTCCAACCGTTATGAATAAATAACAATTATATTTATGTAAGTCTATGGGACATACAATATATATAAAACATGAACAAGTGTTTTTCATTTCTTTTCCATAAGTTCCCTCAAGTCTGAGGGGAAAAGAGTATTTAGCAAGGTTTCAAATGATGTAAACATCCAAATAGTTCCTTTTAAAACTGAGCTTCCGCAATAAAACATGCACAAACGAACAATAAACCATGTAAAGAAGCAGACTAAAAGTTCAAGCTTGTCTCAGCCTCAAACTCATCATGTGACAAGCATGTGTTCGACCCCTGAACTGAAGACAGGCCTCTTACACATGAAAACGTGCATAAACATGCTAATTTATTCCTGATATTGGTAATTTCTTATCATCAGCAGATTAGACTTGAAACTCTCAAGTCTCCAGACAGCTGATAACAAGCTGGCTAAACAACAACAGCTGGTTAAAAACTAGCATTATAAGCTAACCAGCTAATGTTAGGGCAAGTGCCCTAAAAACAGCCATTTTCGTCCACTGTGAGCGACCATCTTTGAACAGAGGTGGTGGTTTACGACGCCAACTGTCTGCCATCTATAATCCAGTTTTGAGTTCCCTTCCCAGACGCCTTAACGCCCACTCACATCCTGGGCCATCTGACCTCAGGATATCACATGATAGGGTGGGGCCAGGTTTCACAATGAGCTCACCCGAAACCCTGGCTGATTGTGACCCACACCCAGTTTCACACCTTGGCTCATGTGATTAGGTAGAGGATCATCAGGGAGGATCATCTGGGACTCTCCACCATTGACCCTTAGAACTGAAGAAGCTTCTCGGATGAGAGGTGAAACGTCTTCAAGCAACTCAAAGAAGTCCAGACGCTTTTCTTTCAAAGCTCCTTAGACCCCTAAAAAAAACAGTTTTCCTCTGATAAACAGTTTGATTACATTCTCACATTGTATGAGAGAGCAGACCCTAACAGAGGCTCAAAGCAGTGCTTTCTGACAGAAACGTTAAAGATATCCTCAAGAACTCACCTCAGAAATACTGCCATAGGACAAAATTTAGCATTGCTGTCTCGTCGACTCTTTTTGGACTCCTTTCACAAAGGTCTTCAGCCTCTTCCAAAGCAAATAGACGTGGATACATATTGACAGCTGAAATAAACAGGGGATTGACAGCCTAGACGCTCTACAGATAAACAGTGGCCAAAGCTGATTGTTCTACAGCAGCTACTGTAGCTAGGATTATGCACTTGAATTGAAAGGGGTAACAAAATATAATCCAGTTGACTGCAATTTACTGACATCTAGTGGTGAGATTTTACACACTGTACCTTTAAAATAATCCCAAAGGTGAACTCCAGACAGTCTCAAAGAATCAAGTCTGTCTGAATTTGTCCTTCTTTAGAGATCGTTTAAGTTTGTATCAGTCAGGCTCTCACTATAAATAACATCAAGAGCAGAAAATAACCACTCACTAGCTCCGTTCTGGTGTGAGAGTAGCACAACTGGACATCATGCATACCTTGTGCTTTCAGGTAGCTGCTGAATAAAAACAGCAGATGAGAATGCACTGGCTCCTGCATTATCACACACAAAAACTTAGTATAATAGCCAGAGAAGTTCATGGACACAGTGCATGTAAGGAAAAAAGGGTTGTATCTTAAAGAAACAGTTTGTATCTTTGAGTTCTGACAAATGTGTTTCACATATTCCTTCCAAATAAAAATAACACTCAGGTGGCACTCAGTTATTTTTGCCTACGCCAGCTGTTTATGAGCACTGAACCATTGTGCCAACATATTTTATGGTGAGGGAACAATGCAGTTAAAAAGAGGATCTATTTGTAAAAACAACACAGGATCCAGGGCAACCTAAACCGAAGACTCTCTCTGCATGATCAGTCATTGTGATCTTTTTGCACTGCTGTTACAATTATTAAAGGTGGAGTTATCTCAAATGGACAAAATGAAACTGGGACATTAGTAATATAAGTAGGCGGGACATTTTAATACTGAAATTTCTTTTATTTTTTGTTAGCACCTGATATTTCAAGAATCGGCCATTTATTGCAGAAACATGCATGTATCAAATCGTTCTTACTGCAACTTTTATCAAATGCACCATACTGTTTCATACATTTCATATTTATAATGAAAAAGCAGTTTGACTGAAACACATTAGTGGTTGATGTTTGAACATGGACATGTTTTGCTGGTTGCTAAAAAAGCATGTCAGGAATGTAATCTTCTTCTGCTTCCCATACCACGAGTGACTGCTCAGGTTTCTATCACAGACAGTATCACAGTTCATATGATGGACACAAAGCTGTGAGATCCTGAAGGGTCATAAAAGTGTGCACAAACAGCAGCTTTTCTTTTCATGTGCAGCTTCAGGCTCCTCAGGAGGAGGCGCGTCAGGAGCAGATGTTTCCTTGTACTCTGACACTGAACCGCTGGAGGTGGACAAAAGCCTGCTGCACACCAGGTCTGCAGCTTTTCCATCCATCAAGGACACGTCTGTCACCGTTTTCTCTCTTAGCGACATGTCCCCGTCTTCATCATCATCTATGAGCACAAACTCCTTGAGATAAACCATCCCCACTCCGTGGAGACTGCGGCTCTCTGCTGACTCCTCCGTACTGCGTCCATCCACAAACGTCAGAGTTGAAGTCTCTGTCAGGGTCTCATGTGGGTCTGTTGAGTTGTCTTCTGGCCCCGAGTAGCCCTGGCTGCTTGACTCCATCGTCCTTATGAAGCTCCTGTGGCCAATCTCGTCTTTCGTGCTGCGCTTTTCTTCGTGGCTGATGGAGTTGATGTCTGGAACGTTGGCACTAGCTCGGCTGGAGAGCTGGTCTCTCCTGGGATGAGAACTGTTTTCTGCAGCATGACCATTTCCAGAATGCATCTTGAAGGCCACCTTCTCATAGTCATGGTAGACCTGCACACTGCTGCTCCCTGTTGGGGAAGAAATGGGGATGCTGGCAGTGTTTCCTTTTCCTTGCTTCTTCATGTAAATCTACCTTTCACACTGAGACCAAACAAAAAAAACTGGAGGTTAGTCTCTGACCTTAGAAACTGTAGTCTGTTCACTGAGGACGACTGCAAGACTCAGACATTATTTATGTAACACCAGCTCACAACAACAGACACCTGGGGCTGGTTTATTTTGTGAGCCCAAAACAATATAGAAGAATCCAGTAAATAGGCCTTCCTTTTTCTTTAACAATATGAGAATATTTAGCAAACAATAAATACTAATATAATCAGTTTAAGATTACTACTACATAGTAAACAAAATGGTCTAAATTATTAAATTATGACATCCCTGCTTTTTGGAGGGAAGCTTATTGATTTTATGAGTCTGCATTGTATATAACGGGAAAATTGTTTTTTCTTTGCAGATTCTAGAAAAAGCAATACAGTTCACTTTAGGAGGCCAAATACCTTTGACCCAGAAAACTGGGGTTTGTGCCCTGAATTGTATCATTATTTTATGTATATTGTGTTCATTCTTTTCTAGTCTTTTAAGACTTATGAAATCTGTAAAAAAAACAAAACAAAACAAAGTCTTTGTTCACCTGGACGGGTATTTTATCTTTTAGCTGTAATACAACTGTATGAATCTGATGAATTTCCACCAAAGAAATTAATTGATGCCAATGTCAAGAAAGTGTCAAG